GATGTAATTCAACTGATGTAATTCAACTGATGTAATTCAACTGATGTAATTCAACTGATGTAATTCAACTGATGTAATTCAACTGATGTAAATCAATTACCCGGATAATATTTTTATACTTTTTAAAGTATGACGTTTCACTCATTTCACTAACAAATCATTTCACAAGAATGTCAAGATTTACTATGCAAAATAATTCCAAATAGTTCCAAAACTGAGGCACTTGCTTAAAAGGCAATTACATTAATATTTATTACTATTGCTAGCTATAATAGCTATACAAAGAAACGGTTAAGTAAAGAACACTCAAGAAGTTTATAGTAAGTTTTTAAATAAAGTTCTTTACAAGGTATTTAATTTTATTTAAATCTAAACTTTTTAGTACCGTTATCTTGATAACATATATTAGTAAAGTTGCGTAGTGTTAACTTATATAAACTTGGTTGGAGTATAAATAGATGAGTGGTATTGTTATATTGCCTAAAAATATAGAACTGAGATATTAATGCATCACTTGTATAATTGTTATTATTTGGAATTTATAATTAACAAAAGTAGATTTTTGTTAATATTACATTCATTCTTTCTCGTGCATTGAATTTTTAATAAAAATCAACAAATGTGAATGTTTTTTCTATAAATTTGCACACTTTGTGATACAGTTGGATCTCTTTTTTGGGTTGAGTCTGCGTCATTCTGATAAATCTGTTTACCTCACCGTCTAATCGGATCTGGAGGTGGTGGACGAGGTACCAATCAAGGTATGCCTAAAAAACAAAAAAATGCCTGGTCAAATCGTCCTTTAGACATTTTGTTCACTATAAATGGTTGATAATATTAGCTAATATAAATAATAAGCACATAATACATACATATATATAAGATTTTTGTTTTTTTTCCTTTTCTATATAGTGAGGAGTTTCAGGATTAAAATTTGCATTTATTTCCAAATAAGGGGATCCGTTAAAGCCAGGTTCGATCACGAGATTTTGACCAATCAAAATCATGAATTTCTGTTTACACTGATCACCCGATGAAGCAAAAATACAAAAAATGAAAGTTTAAACCTATAAGACCATTTTAACTTTAGATCCACAGATCGGAGCATATGCTTAATGTAATTAACTTTCGTGATCGAACCTGGCTTTAACGGTTCCCCAAATAAAGATTATCAACTTTATTTCGCTTTATAATAGACTTAATTAATAATCTCTTTATCAATTTTATAAAATAGGGTTTCTAAACACTCATTTTAATACTCTTATTTATTTCTGAATTGTTCTACTTTTTATTAATTCTGAAACACCTCAATATTTTTATGTGACTTTTTTTTCTGACTATTGTCTTTTTCTTATAAAATAATGTGATTTTTGAAATTTATTAACGAGACTTTTATTTATTTCATAATTAATAGAGTAAATCATGAAATTAAATATACAAATTATTCACTTTGCAATATTCTTATTACTAATTTTCATTCATAGAATTAATTCTAGTCAATCTACTACTAAAAATGACTTAAAATTCAATTTAACTACCACTCCAACTACAACTACCAATGCTAAAGCCATTTCCACAAACAATATCAAATTATATACTACTGCCAAAGCCAACGTAATAATTACATCCAAAGTCGTATCCACTACTGTCAAAGCTAATGCAATGACTACGACCAAAGCCTCTTCCTCTACTGTCAAAATCAATGCAATCACTACGGTCAAAGCTGCCCCTACTACTATCAAAATCAATGCAATCACTACGGCTAAAGCTGCCCCTACCACTATCAAACTCAATGCAATTACTACGGCTAAAGCTGCCTCTACTACTGTCAAAATCAAAAAAGCTGTCAAAATCAATTCAGCCACTACGGTCAAAGAATTCACTATAGCTAAAGCTGTCAAAATCAATTCAGCCACTACGGTCAAAGAATTCGCTATAGCCAAAGCTGTCAAAATCAATTCAACCACTACGGTCAAAGCTGCTCATACTACTATCAAAGCAATCACTACGGCTAAAGCTGTCAAAATCAATTCAACCACTACGGCCAAAGCTGCCCATACTACTATCAAAATCAATGCAATCACTACGGCTAAAACCGTCTCTACTATTACCAAAGCAACCGTCACTTCTAAAGTCCACGGCCTCACCACAAATAGAATTAGCAGTAACAAAGCCACCACTACTAATACAGCTGTACCAATTATCATTCCTTATTGTTGTAAAAGGGGAAGTCCCGGTTTCGGTAGTCAATATTTGCATAATATAGTTTATAATGTACATTTTAATACAGAAACATTATTAGAATGTTGTATAGCCTGTATTAATAACCGTGATTGTATTCAATGGACCTTTGACCATTATAATAAGAAATGTTGGTATGCTAATAATGCTTTACAAGATGTTTGTAAACAAAGTACCACAGGTTATTCCTCCTTTGACGGTGGAGTTATGCGATGTTCAGGCGGTTGTATGCCGTAACAAATCCTACACTTACTTATATGTTAGAAGTTTTATTTTCAAAAAGTAATCTCAAAGTGCTTAAATTATATTTATCAGAATTAAGTTGGAATTAATAATAATAGTGCGGTAATCTATTCTGTAGTAAAATTATTATTTATAGATTTTTTGCTTAATAAATAAGTTATAAATTACTATAAATTCCATTGACATAATTATTATAGTTTTTTACTAGAGAAGATGGGCGCCACCGGCGCCCTATTGCGTTACTTGTGTCAAGTTTGGTCAAATTCATTAACATATGTCAGATGATATTGGTTAGGTCATGTGCTCATAATTATGTTTACGATAACCATTTGGATTCCTCAGAATATGCAAGATGATTACGTTATTAATTAATAACAAAAAAGTATTAACGTATATTTATATCGGAATAATCCAGTCGAATGTTTTAGTTGGATTTTAGTTATGATTGATTATTGTTAGCATTAAAATCATTAAAATGGAATATTCAGAGATCATCATAACAGATAAGCAGTTTGAGTTTGTGCGGCTTAATGCTGGCCGGTGGCTTTTCGCTGCATAATGTAGGACGGCAGTTAGAGCTGAATTGGCGATGGCTGGTGGGAATTATAAATGCGCTTTTCACTAAATCAGTCATTTTCTCACAGTATTCATTATTAAAGTTAGAATTACTACGTATATGCGGAAGGTAATTTAGAATCATACTCCTCCTGTAATCTTGATTATGCAGGATTGGTCCTATTCCTGTTGCTTTTTTACGGAGCACATTGCCCCCGCGTAACACCTTTTTGATCTGTTGACTTTTGTCGACTCGAATGAAATTACAGCGGATTGGTATAGGTGAGCAGATCTGTATAGTACAGGTTCAATTTTTTAAAAACTACACTATACCGATATTAATCAGCTATAATTTCTAAGCTTAATAAGTATAGTTTATAAATTAGTCTGTACTATACGGATCCGTTTACTTATACCATACGTACCAGTATATGATTTATTAATCGAGTGTCAATATACATAATAATTGTATCGATATTTTAATCGTAAGTAGGCAGATTAGTTATGGGAATTTTTAACATACCCTGTAAGAAAAAGTGGCACATAGTACAGTCCAAAATGGCACAGGAAAAACAACCATTACGTACCTCCGCAAAAAATTTAACGTGCAAATCACGGTCCACAAACCGTTCCTTCACTGCAATTTCCGTAGAAAAACGCGCCAAAAGGCCGTGCCAAAATCCGTGGATTTTGGTTTAGTAAACTGCTGCAAAATCCGGTCCATTTACTGTTCAAAATTTACGGGTAAACATACCAAAAATGGCACGGTGAAAAGAAACCATCCCGTACCTCACGTGTCAATCACGATGCACTATCCCGTGCCTTTCCGTTATTTTAGTGAACGTGCCAAGAAACGTGTATTTTGGCTTAGTAAACTGCGGTCCATTTGCGGTCCAAAATTCATGCATAAACCCGTAATGGCACGGGACATCACACGTACCACTTTTCTTACAGGGCTTATAAGTTCATCACTAAGACGTTAATTTTCAAATTCTAAAAATTGATAACGGATTAGCACATAGGCTAGTACAGTTACATGTCACTCTTGAATCTGTTAAGTTACCGATAGGCCTTAACTCAATAATGTTTTATAATACCTTATGATTTAACTGATTCGAATGTTAAAAAACTTGAAGTCATTTGAATAAGTAAATACATTTTCAAGAAAGCCTTAGAAAATTAAAAGATTTGGTTATATGAAAATTCATAAGAACATGTCTATTAATTTAGATTAGTGACAAAAAAAAAAAAATTCGACCGCCCGACTGAACTTCGAAATATCAGGTATTGCAAAACGAAAATTCAATTTTGTGAGGCCTAATATAAACATTAACAAGATTATGTATATATGTATATCTCTGGTTGAATACAGAAATGTCACTTTCAAAACATCTTTGCTGGCAATAATTGAAAAATTTAGAAGGCTTATCAGTTCAAAAATTTATGTTAGCAGATCTTTTTTAAGTAATGTAACCTGGCTGCAGTTACAAAAGCGCATTGATCGACAAAAGCGAAGGTATTTAATAATGCTAATTCTGGTTTGGCTTGAGGTGAAGCTCCATTGAGAACAATAGTGTATAAATTGCTTGTCATTAGTTATAGATCCCCCGATGCTCTAAATAGCTATATTACTTGTGAGATCTTAATTGTAGTAGCAAAGCCCCATTTCTGTTTGTAATGCATATTGATTTCAAATAACTAAACGAGCAGAGTGTGTATGGATAAGTAAGAATCACAATAATAAAGACCATCTAACCTGGATCCTAGTGGTAGTAGGATCCTTGGTTTTCGAACCAAATCTTCTATGCCTTCTTTCGAGTAGCCTTAACCTATTGTGTTTTAGGTATCTTCCCCAGTATCGCCATCAAAAATGTCACTTTCACGTGACCATCGAAAAAAACTTTTAAGTTCGTTTATGTTAGGGTTAGCGTTTAAACTAAAGTTAAAGAATGAGGGGAGTATAGTAAAATTACTCAAGGAATTTTTTTTGACAAAATTGACGTTTGTTTTGGATCTTCGCGATCGTGTTACGTTATACCAAATTGGGATTAATTATTGGCTCGATGTAGATCGTCACGTGAAAGTGACATTTTTGATGGCGATACAGTGGTAGTTGTTTTAGGTTATGAGATCTGGTGACACCAAATTCACACTTTTACAATTGTCCAGAATGCATGTGATCCATATAATCACGTGAAGAATTCCATTTGTCCGTTTTCATGTATTCTAATTGGTCAATTATAGAATAATAAGCACGCATGTTGCTTATCATCATAGCTCCACCTAGTTTTATATCATTATATCATAAGCTTATCCCGCCCTAACTAGTTGGTTAATACCCTTTAATTTTGGGTTGCTTAAAAAAAAAATCTGTGATTAATATTTATAAAAGATCACAATACAGTTTTATTGCACGAACCTTGTATACAATGAACCACCCAAATCAGTTAGGTACGGAGTTTAAATACATATAATTTAATAAAAATTTTCATAATAAATCATCTTAAAATTCATATAATTCTGAGTAGAAATGAGTGTTGCCAAATGAAAACCGGGAAATCCAAAAATTGATTACTTATGAATTTCATAAGTGATCTATTTTTAGATTTCCGGGTTTTCATTTGGCAGCACTCAAATCATATATTTTTACGTAAATGATTTGGGTTGTTATGCTTAAGGGGTTTGCTTTATTGTAATATTTGAATTTTATTGCTATAATGTCTGAATTTGACTGCTATAGTGTCCGAATTTGATTGCTATAGTGTTCGAAGTTGATTGCTATAGTGTTCGGATTTGATTGCTATTGTGTCCGAATTTGATTGCTTAGATATCCAAATTTGATTGCTATAGTGTCTGAATTTGATTACTATAGTATCAAAATTCGATTGCGAATTTGGTTGTCATAATGTTTGTTTGAATTTGATTGCCCAGATGTTCGAATTTGATTACTCAGGTGTTCGAAATTGGTATGCAAAACCGATATTAGTGCACTCGGATAATATGTACCAGGTTTGCGGCGCAGACAAAATTTTTAAGATTCGTTTAGGTTAGGGTTAGGGTCAGAGTTATGAATTAGAAAGGGATAGTTTATATAGTAAAATTGCTCAACGAAAACTTTTAGTTAGAGCACTAAAGGTGGTTTCTTATGCTGATTTTTGAGTTATGGGCGATTTTTGACAGAACGAACGTTTTGTTTTGAATATTCCTGATCGTTGAAATCTGATTTGTATCTCAGGATATCTGCGCCACAAACTTAGTATACATTATCCACGTTTCAATAGAAGAATTTATATCCGAGATATAGATGGCCCAGTAGATAATTACATATGGAGAAGAGAAACTCTACCTTCGATATTTAAACCCGAAGAATCTTTCGTAAGGGTCGTTATTATGCGACAAGTACAGGAAGTCACTTTTCAACCAAATGAAATTAATATTCTTACACGCAATCGCTAAATCAACTGAGAACATAACACCACTTGAAGGAAAATTATATGTCACTACACATATAGTTGATGTCGATAACAACGGACGGACATTAGAATTTAATATATAGGATCTACATATTAACAATTAGCAAAGCATAAATGTTTGAATCTGCACTAGTATTAACAATTGGGAACGAGACACAAAATACGTTACAAATTTAAAATCATTTATTATCAATCATGACATTATGATCATTATGACAAATGAGCTTAACCTAGCATTAGTGACAATTAGTTATTAGAAAAATAATAATGAATGTTCGTATTCTAATTCTATCAAGATATTTTAATATTAATCGCTCTTTGAATTTTTAGCCAAACGCTTTATAACCTTTCCTAACTTTTTATCATATTTTTCTGGAAGATGGTGTAATAGAAAATTCTTTCGTAAAGTAATATCTATGAATGATTCTTGTGTAGATTTTTCACATAATATTTCTTTTAGTAACGGATTGGAAGGATTCCGTTTTTTATATAAATAGTGTACTGTACCAGGGATATATAATTTTTGTTCACGTGAATTTGATTTTAAATTTTTGTAATATTCATCAATGGAAGCCATTAACGTAGAATGTTTATCCTTTGATGGTATCTGAAATATCGTTGATTATATAACAATTATTAGAGCAAAAATGTAAATGTAATAAAAATGATAATAGTCTATTAATAATTAATGCATTACCTTTTTATAATCATCATCCTTTAATTTGTTAGCCACAAATTTAACCAATTCTCTGAAATCTATCAAGCTTCCATAACTTAATCTCGGAACAATATCATTCTCATTCACAAAATTATCGATGTAACTCATAGTTTCATTTTTACACGCAAGATCAAGTGAAGAACATGGTGGAGTTCCAAAATTCCAAGCATGAATATCGATTCCCTTTGCAATTAGATCCTTGCATCGTTTTCGTAAAAGCATTGTTACGAGACATGATACAGAAGCACCCAATGAATGTCCTATTACTTGTATTGAATTGACTTTGAATTTTTTTACTGCAGATCGAATGTCCTTTAAAGAATTTTTAACAAGATATTGTGCACTGCGCAACATTCCACGATGAACAAAACCATCTCTCCACGGTTCATAATATGTCATCACATCCGTGATCACATCTGCAAGATTCTACAAAGAAAAGATTATTTTTTAAAAGAAATATATTACGAATTTAAAATTTATAAAAATTTAGTGGAAAAGAAAACTAGCTTTACCAATGTTCCTCTAATAGATATTATAATAGAATTTGACTCTGGATCTCTAATTATCATATAATTAGGTATGGTAGCAGTCATTTTTCCAAATTCCCAACAAATAATATCATTTTTACTAATACCAAAATAATCTTGAACAGTCTTTCGATCAGACTTCATTCTCATAGCATCTATAATCCAAAAGAATACGTATTGTTGAGAATTGTAATAATATTTTTCAAAACTAGAATTACAATGATAACATACTTTTTGGCGCCAAACTATATCCATATCCAAATACATTAAACATGAAAGAACCCTGAATTTAATAAACATTTTGTTAATAAACGAGAATTCGATTGTGATGTATAATAAAAAATTGTCAAAACGTGCATACATATGATACTATAGAAAATTTTAAATAATATTTGGCTTTTTTTAATTTATCCACATCTTCAATTAAATTTCCCGTAACATGACTATTGTAAAAAAAAAAAATTTTTTTGATTAATGATTGATTGAAGATATAAAATTTTATATTGAAATATAAATAAACATTACTTTTGTTTTTGATCATAGTATTTTTCTAGAAGAATGTAAGCTTTCATAAACTCTAATTTGGTCACCCTCCATCCATGACCGAAAAACCCATGACAAATGGATACAAATTCCTTAATTGCATCTACGTTCTTTTTACTTAACATAAAATCTAATATACTAAGAGATTTCGCTTCAGGATATATGAGATTGAAATTTTCATTTGTTTTGTGAATTCCTTCTATTCCATTAATTCCACGAGAAATCATAAATATCGATCTACGTTGTATGGCTGAATTTAGGGGTAGTTCTTGAGGGAAATGAAATTTTATAATTATTTGAGCGGTACCAACTTCAAAGGGATGCAATAATTCATTATTTTTGATAGGAAAAGTTCTATAAATGGCCAATTTAAATTAGTTGTATACGACTTTAATAATATAGAAATAGGAATATATATATATTTTACCCTTCAAATTCAGCTTTGTTTAAAATAGCTTGTTTTAAAGAACTCAACCGAATGATGGCATATCCAAGTCTTTTCTTTGTATTTAATAAAGATTCATAGTAATAGAAATATAATTTTAACGTGTCGAAAACCAATGAATGATAATTAAAAGGGAAAAGAAATATGTTTTGCATTTGATTTTCGAGAGAAATATCTGGTTTCGTATTATGAGAAGCGTATTGAGTCACAAGACGAATTGATTTCTTGGCGCAGGTTTTTATTTGATTTGAATTAAATTGCAAAGATTTTATTTGGACAAGCATTTGATCTGTTTGAATGAATATCAACATTCAAGTTAATAAATAGAATAATTTTAAAATTAATAAATTAATATCTACCTGGAATAGAATCTTTAGATACTTATAAACAAACAAAATAAAATGGCTATTAAATAGTTTGAACATATGGAAATCATTGAATCACAACAAAAATTCACACTACATTGTATCAAATTTTCTTTAGCTTGTTCTCTAGAAGAGTCTTCAAGATTAAAATATAAATTATTAACAAATTCGGATTATGAAAAAGTGATTTAACCGGTTCGAATTTTTAAGTACAAAATATACCTAGATATAATTCTGAGCCAACTTTGTTGTCAACAGCGCTATTAATAATTGGTGCTTTATAATATTTTGAGTTAAATATAATCAATACAAAATGTTAAATGATAATAATGATTAATTGCAACTGTTTTTTGATATTTACAAATTTTGAAACAAATACTTACTATTATTTTGTTCAACAACTGAAGATATCTTAATTGCATATCTATTTTGTTGGAGAGTTGTTCCGTTTCCAGAGTTTTCAATTTTATAAAGACGTCTGCTATTAATTTGTACATTACTACTAGTGGAATTAAAACTTTTGCATTCAGTTAATAACTTTGATTCAGTTTGTTCCGTTGGAATATTTTGAAGTAATGACCCTGAATCAATGAGATCGGTTGGAACATTTTCATCGTATATTTCCTCATTTAATATTTCCATGTTTATTCGATAGATTCTCGATATAACTCAACTTTGTTAGCAAAAGCTATATCTGAAACTAAAGATCTAAAATTTTCAAAATTTTCAAAATATCAAATTGCAACAAACTACTTTTTGACATGGTGACATCGTATTTATGGTTAAACCCACACGCACGTGTACGAAAATATACCCTGTAAAGGTTGTCAAATTTTTAAGAAAGTTCACTTTTTAAAAATTAATTAAATTGAATAAGACCATCCTGAAAATCCATACACGCAATCATACATGCGCATAATAACTGTTATGATAAGGCCATACAAAATTAATTTCTTAGTTTTCATTAAAATTTTAAACAGACTTGGCAATCTGTCACCTGGTCATTAAAATTTTTAATTATCGGAAAAATTGACTCTGTCGGGTTATGAAATAATTAGTTTTGTATGGCCTAATCACAATCAAATAGATTCATAAAATTTTTTACATTCAGAAACAAAAATGCCTTACACATTGAAAGTTAAAATTTTTATAAAGCTATAGATGGGTTTTGCGACTATTTTTATTATTGAGTTACATTCTTTAACGGTATGTACGTACGTACGTACATACTTTAAAAAACAGTTACGTACGTACGAACCAGGAATTGATTTACATTAGCCAATCATTGTTTCGTGTACCCAATTTGGAATCGGTCCGATTCGGAACAATCCCAGATAAGAATTTTAGCCTAAATTATGCTACTAAACAAGCAATTTTTTATTTTAAGATATTGACACGTGGCACTACATAGCATGATTATAATTGGTCATCCTATCTATGTACGTACGTACGTACTTATTTCTACTAGACATACATCTATTTAATTTAGGTAATTGAGTATTATCCTATTTAATCTTAAATGTCAAAAACAATGCGTAAAATAAAAGTTTC